TGGACCCTGCTGCCACCCCCTGCTGTTCTTGTCTGCTTCAAAGAAGCATATTACAACATCAGTTGTCGGAAACGCCTTTCGTTACGACGCAGAGTCCTTAGGAACAGGATTTCCACACACACGATGCCGGTTGAAACCGGTTGTTAAACAGAACAACTAGACAAGGAATTAACATGCTGTTCAGAATGCATTGTAGCGACAATATAGAGTAAGATAAAGAGTTACATCTTTGGGCACTGGCCGTCGCGAAACAACCTTTGAGGGTAAGGTTTTGGGCGGCCATCTCCGCAGGTACACACTTGAGCGTCTTCAAGTGCATCCACTGATTTGCCGTAGCTTCGTTGGACAGGATAGGCAAATTAGCTCCTGTCGCCCTGCAAATGTACATCTCTGTATCCGCAGAACCAGGGTCTCGACACACAGACACACCCAGCAGCAACAAAATAACAAACATACACACACATGAACTGCAGAAAAAACGAAGACCCCCCGTCACACCATATAAGAAACCATGCCCAAACTTATCGCTCACTCTTGGCATTCACCTTTTGCTTGTCATCTCTGTGTCTTGGTTCTTCTGTGCTGCCAATACCATCGTGAACATCATAAAGCCTGAATGACGGCCGCGGCAATTCTTGAGGCCACAGCCTGTTCTAGGATCCAGGCGGCTAGAATTGCATGCTATGTGCCAGCTGCTCGACGCGTTGCATGTTGTATGTGCTGTATGTATTTAGGAAGCAGCACCACCTCGGCGTTGCCGTTAGTGGTCGCGTAGAAGATGGGAGCTTCCAAAGCTCATGTAGTGAGGTTACGGAAGGTAAAATGGAACATTTTCGCCACGAATCCTCCATCTTCCCCAAACACAAAAAGTCAAAGACGAAAGATCTGGCAAAAGACTCTGGCACCCGAAGATGCGGTGTCGACAACGAGTCGTTCTCGTTGTGCTTACTTCGGCCATCCCGGTGGAGGTATCCGCAGGCATTGGATCCTACTTGGCTCGGCTTGAAGCGAAGCATACGGAGAACACCACCGTGTACAATCGGTACTCGGGCTCAGCATGCAACCATGCCTCAGCGCATCAATTCCTGCATTGGTGTGTGAGCTCAGCCAGAAATTTGTCCATGTTAGGTCTGCAGGACAAGAAGCTTCACGGCATGTACCTGAGAGCCGCAAAGCTTGGAAAGACGAGTGGCATGTAGGTGCTTTGCACCACAGGTGGCAGGAATGCATCCGACAAGTACCTTCTCCGCTGTTGCAGACGGTGGCTAAAGTTTCTTCGAAGGAGAGCATGCACAGGTGATAGTGCCTGTTCGGTCTGTTGGCAGACTGCTGTGTAAACCTTCCAATCGGGCACCCTAGTCAGATTCTGGATGGAGTTGGAGATTCCGGGATGGACGACTGCACGCAGGTGCATTGCAGTCATAGCAGAGCTTCTTGAGGAAGACCTGTGTAAGCAGGAAGGCATCCGTGCAGCAGTCAAACAAACTTGCCTTGGCTTCGTTTCATAAACAGATATTCATGCATAGTCGGTCTGGTTCGCCTCGTGTTGCCTGGCAGTTTGTATCCAGCTGCAAAAAAGTTGATCGTACGTGCTGGTTGCTGGCTCTTCAACCACTGAATACCAGGAGACCTCTGCAGAAGGATCGGAGGATGGCGACGAGAAGGCACCTCATCCGGTGCATTCGAGATAACTAACCCAGCATGTTACAGGTGGGCGATGCAGCGAGGATTAAGCTCAAGCACCCGCAGGGAGGTCGACCAGTGGACTCAGAGTTGGGATGCTTCGACAGCAATTGCAGTTCCCTCCCAGCCAGCTGGGGGAGTGTCCGCCAACCCTGCTCAAGGACCATGCGTACCTCCGCAACACCTGGAATTTGCAGCTTGGGCAGCGAATGTGCGGGTTCCTTTAGGCAAATCCGTCAAGCCAGTTGGAGTTGTGGACTATCCTACAAGGAGAGCTTCCCTGGATCGGATGGTCGCCCGAGATTGTCTTTCTCAGCATCGCACTTTCACGGCAAGCTCATAAATGACACACTTGCCGTCTGTACCTAGAGAATTTACATGATTCCCACAACGGCCAAACTGAGTTTCGAGAGTGGCAATCTGGCAGTGGCCCAGTGTGACAATCCCAACCAGTACACCCTGCTTGCTGCCTGGCATCAAAAAGTCATTCCACCCGAGTTTGGCTGCGTGCTTTGCGTGTCAGAGGTTGACGTTGATGCCAATACCGACGGGTACACGCAGTGGTTTTACTTTGCAGTACGCGGGGGAACTGTTAATTCAAAGATCAACTTCCGCTTGATCAACATGGCCAAGTCCAGCTCCCTGTTCGGCACCTCGCCTGCCCGTCATTGCAGCCTTTGCGTTCAGCGCTCTGTGGGCCGTATATGCAAGGCGATAAGGGCATGCGACCGGTGATTTGGAGCGAGAAGTCCGGAAGGGGCTGGGAGCGCGGTTGCAGCGATGAGACTTAGCCAGTTTATGCATGCACGCAGCAAATGCAGAGGTCTCTTTCATGGTGCTTGCGTGATGGGTTGAACTGGTTAGCTCGCCACAGGTTAGTTATTCGGCAACGGAGTCCACCAAAGCATTGAATCCAGATTGCATGTATGCTGCCTGCACAAGAGCTGACATGGATTGTCGGATGAGCTGCTAATTAAGGACGTCACAGAAAAACTGCTTTACCCTGTCATTTGCTTACACCTTCGAGTTCGAGGATGACACTATCTTCTTCGCGCGGCTTGTCACGTGATTGTGGGGCTTTCGCGGCCTCGGTGTCCATGGTTTCCTACACCATATCCAGAGCAACTTGAGCACGAGCCTGCCTTCGCTGCTAGGAACTCGAAAACACGTAGACACTAAGCAAGTTTGTTTTGTTCTCGCTCTTCATTTTTTTCAGACCACGACCTTCCTGATGACTTGGCTCTGTACAGGCCCCAGCATCGAAGCCCATCCAACTCCTCTGCTCAACCTACATCCTGAACCCCTAACTTTCAGAAGCTGACGATCGGTTTGTCGATGCTTTCAAGAAGAAGTCGCTTGGCCGCCCCGACATAGCGGGCCCGGACCGGTGGAGGCAGCCATGGTGTGGTCTTCATGAGGTTCATGTTGCAGGCACGTGGTGCAGCAGATGGACTCTGACCCGCAAGCGTTGTATTGATTCTCCGAGTTGCGAGAATCGAAACCCTAAAACACCCTGCAAAATCAACCTTCGCGATTGAGTTGAGGCAGCCGAAACCTAAAGTGATTGCGTCTTGCCTTCAATACACTGTAAGCATCTGTAATCCAAGTCGTTGGCATCGACTGCGTGGTTGGTTACGGGCAAGACTCCACGTAGGAGTAGCGGTGTGCAGACATTCTAGCCGATTGTACAATGATATGATGTTGAGGTACCACTATCCTTACACGTACAGCTACCTCACGACTTTCATCAACACGCTGGAAGCCGATCCTTACGCCGGACAGCTGTTCAGCCGCAAGCCGCAGCTTGGATTGGCCCAACGACACGGGTTTCATGTGCAGAGAGATACAACGGTCGACAGCTTGTGCCACAAGGCTTTGCGAAACCATAGGACGGGGATGCCAGGGAGCTCTTTTAAGAAAAAATGCATCCCATTCTGGTTTCTTGCGCCATGCAGGAGGCTTGTCTTGCGAAGCCCTGGAAGTTGATTGCGTGGAGTCCAACGCTCCGCAGCGAGGCTACTGGCATTTATCTAAACCTTTATTGTTCTGTGTGCTTTGTGTCCGTGGCCGAGCCTGGGGAAGTCTGGGTAGTTCGATCCTTCCACCTCTTCGAAAGACAAGAGCTGTCTCAGAAAGGTCAGCCTGCCTTGTTCTATCAGGGCGACTGAAGATGCGAGACAGAGAAAGGAAATCGCCCCTGAACTGCAAACCATTGACAGCAAGGAATCAAAACGGCTCAGACAAAAGACGAATGCCCCTCCGCTCGTGGGAAGCAAGTGCACAGCACAGAGCCGACACAGCAGAAACGAGCTGACGCACGAAAGAACAGATGCCGAAAGTGTGGCTGACCAACCAACTACACAGAGCTGGTAAATACGGCGGGCATTGTCAGCTGCGTGTGCTGTCGTTTTTGGAGGTGATGTGCGTCATGTTGTTGGTAGAAAAGGGCTGCGACCGACCCGCTGCCACGCACGACGCTGCGCTCTCTGCCAGATAAGGCCTTTGCGTATTGACGGCCAGAGTTCACCCCGGCGAGTCCAATGCTTCCTGGATGATGCTCCTCGGTCCGAGTGCTTGTTTGTTGGTCTTCGAGCGCTGGCTGAAATTACGCCTCTTCCGAGGCATGGATTTATACTATTTTTGCTTTCGCCCGCGGCTGAAGCTATCGCCTTGCGACAGGCTTGTTGAGCAGCCTCCTGCCCAGATCCCCGTGTCCGTACTGTACCTGTCCCTCTCCAGGCCTTCAAGTGGCTCATTATTCCTATGTTGAACCCTGATGGCGTAGCACGTGGCTCCTACAGATGCAGTTGGGGTCTGAGTGTTCAGGCGCCGCAGAGAGACATGCAGCAAACGAGTTTGCAACAGGTCTGGCTGGTACAGATCTCAACCGCCACTGCGATGCAAGATAGAATCTTTTCAGTGCTAATGGGCTTAGCCTTGCTGTTTTGTTGTAAAGGCAATAAGTCTCTAAACCTCTGTTACGCTTGGTGTCGGGGAGCACTTGAGCGTACTTGTCTCCGAGGCGTGTATCTCAAGCCGAACAAAAGAATCCATCCAGAAATCTATCATTTGAAAGAAGTCATGAAGCGAGCTCCCGGCGGCGTGGAGATCTTTATCGAATCTTGTCCTTCAATATGTCCCTTTGGCTCTGTTGCGAGCTAAATCAAGATGGTTGCACTGCAGGACTTCCATGGGCATTCCAAGAAAGAGGGCATTTTCTTCTATGGTGGTAAAGCTCATGCTGAAGACCGCATGACGAATGCCAGCATACAGTTGCTGCCAAGGCGGTGTGCAAGCCGAGCGCAGCAAGCGATGGATTGCACATATTGCACCTGCCAGGCTTTGTGCACTGGGCTCTTCCGATTTCAGATGGAACAAGCCGCTGGGAAAGCAAAAGCCGCCATGGCAGACTGCTTGTTAGTTGTAAGAGTTTTAGCAGGGCATGACGTCTGTACGAGCTGGCTTGTCCACCTCAGGTGTTCTTTCAACGTATATGAGTCAAAGGTCTCGACAGCGCGATTGGTCGGGTTTTTGCAGCTCAAAATCCAGAAAGCATACACAGCCACTCAAATTCATCAGATTACTTGTGGAGGACATGGATTGGCTTACACGCAATCAAACGTGGTATGGACGGGTTGCGTCCCAGGTGGAAGCCTCTTTTGCCACCAGTGGCAAGGTTCCCCTCGAAGAAATGTTCGCGGAGGTTCGTTGCTCTTGGCGTGCTCATCGCAGATTGGCTGGGCTGTCAACTCGAGGAGTGCGAGCAAGACTTGTGTGCAATTGTCAGGACCAGGACGAAAATCACGACCGAGACGAGTTGCACCACGACAAATCTGAAGAGGAAGAGGAGGAGGAGGAGGTCCAACATACATCGGCCAATCAGGAAATGGCAGAAGCAGCCGCCGCTGCTCTCCTGCAGCAGCTGGACGCTGGCTCGCAACAGATTAGTTGTTCCAGTTCATGTTGCCGTGCTTGGCTCTCATGCGGTGAGGACTTTCAGCTGCGTAAGTCTGCCTTAGGCATCCGGCGGGGAGCAGCGCAACAGATGCTTATCGAGGAATATTTCGCTTTTGATGCTAGGTCAGTCGGCCTTTCTTGACTGCACCGGTGTTCCGGGGATAGCAAGCATCGGTTCACGGAGTGTCCATGAAGCCGGGAGACGTGTATCTCAGGAAGGGACTCTAATTCTGCCGCTCTGGTTGCAGTATGTTGCAGTTGCATTCGTGCAGCATAGAAGTTGCGAAGCTTGCTGACGTCTCTATGTCTATGTTATAATTCCGGACACACCAAGGGCGGCAACCGCAGTCACTTGGCCTGAGCGCGTTCATTTCATGAGCAGTATCTGTATCGGTCATCTCTTCGGGCAGGAAAAGTCACACGGACAGATGCTCGGCTCAGTTGGCACGCCGGCGAAGTCACAAAAGTGCCGAATGGCGAGACTAAGGACCTTGCCGCGGTTGCAGCTGCCGTGCTTGCTGCACCCGAGTCGACGAATCCCAGTCCACGTCCTGAAAGCCCTGGAAGCAGGAGAGTCCCAAATAGGTGGCAGGTTCAATCTCAGTGGCGTCGCTCCACTCTTTCCCTTCTTGCCGACTTGTCAAGCCCTGCACAATCTATCGATGTGGGGTCGGCCGGGGTGTGGAAACCAATCTAAACCCTGCAACCCTGGCTTTTCTTGCAGTCTTGCTTTTTTTGTTTTGCCTGATCCATTGCAAAGGTTACGCAGTGTTTAAATCTTTGTGACATCATTCTCAACACTCTGTTGTTTTCAGTTTCTCACCTGCTCCAGACAACAGAAAGTTTTCGAAGGAGAGCTGGCAGCAATCTTTTTTGTTACTTCTGTGCCTGGTAGAAACAACAACAAATCAACTTATATAACAGTATATGGTAACTATACATAGCCACAACCAATTGGGAACATATAACTGTAAATCTTTATTTCTGTCTACAAACATGCATTTCTATTTCCGTGCTGTCAGTGGTGTACGCAGCCTAGGGTGCAGACAAACACGTCCGTGTGAAACCGGCCGGCAGGCGCATCAGCGAGACAAAAGCCGTGACGGACTGAGGTATACGAAAAACTGAAGGTTTTAACATTTACAGCCCCTGCTTTGCAAACGAACCTCTCAGCTCGGTTGGCTGTACAGCTTGAGCAAAAAAGCAACCGCGCTGAGCACGGTGAAGGTGACTCCGTGCTGCCTGGCAGACACAAGAAAACGGGAACCCCTGTACTCTAACATCAGAGGGCACGGCCAGCTTCAGCCAGCGCCGTCAGACCAAGCATGTTGCAAGTTTGGCAAGAGCTCTCAAGGACGTAACTTTGTTCATGTGTTGAGTTTGGCAGGCTTGGGTGCACATGTATCATTCTAGATTTGCTGCAGGCTGCCCTTCTGGCTCAAGTGTGATCCAAAACGGCAGGCAGCTGATGTTGGTGCAGGGGAGTTGACCCCATTTGTTCCGTGGGAGAGACCCATTCACAGGATTGACCTGTCATTATGCATTATGCTTTTACACGCCTGGCAGTTCCTACCAATGGCCAGGTTCATCCAGCCGCTATGCTCGAGGTCCGGGGGAGACTTCGTGAGGTGGTTGTGGCCGGTGAGGGCTATGAAGCTGGTAGGTTGCCGGGTTCCGTGCTTGAGGTGCAGCGCTACTCCCCCCCCCCCCCGCCAGCCAAGCTTTTGGAGGGTCTGCCGCCAGGTGTGCCACCGATCCGGACGGTGCCCTGACATGATGTGCGCCAGATCGCTTTACTGGGACCTATTCACGTGACGTGGTTGTTGCTCCAGGGACCTCTCCGGCTCGAGCTTGGGAGGACTATCATGGCTGCAGCGAGCGTCTCGTGCCATGGCGACAGAGCAGTGCTCTTGCTGTGTTGCCGTTTGGGCTTCAGATGGACGAGCACTTTGAGCTCGATTGTGAGACCCGACTTTTCCACAGTCGGCGGTGCGGGCGGGTTTCCGGCCCAGCCTTGCCGCAAGATTCCTCTTGCAGAGGCGCTGCAGGATGCTGAGGCAAGCAGTGCCAAGGTGCGGGCGAGTTTGTGCCCGGGCAAGGATGATGAGTTCCTACTGCAGCAGAGCCTCAAAGATGCCGGGAATGACTTCTGCCTATCCTATGCGCCGCCCTGAGCTCATTCGGTGTACCGGGGGCAAGCCATATCGTCTGATCCCCCGTTGCATCACCCACACAGAGCAGCTGGGAGCAGCGCATTATAGACAATGCCATTTCGGGTGGTCAGATGGCGCTGAGCTCTGACCCCAACAAGTTGGTGCTGTGCTCTCCGCTTCCTCCTGCGCAGCATGCCGCTGCCTTGCTGTCCTACTTGGGCCCTGACCACCTTCGGCAGGCGTTAGCAGAGGATGCTATGGAAGGTGGGGGCGAGGATTGGCCGGAGGCGTACCGGCATTGCCCTATGGATCATGAGGCCTCTCTGTGCTGCGTGGTGGCCATGCCGGTTCGAGTGAAACAGCCTACCAGCTTTACACGGGCTTGCTCTTTGGGCTTTCTCTAGCGGTGACGAGCTTCAATCGTTACAGCCGAGCCGTTGAAGCCTTAGGGCGTCGACTGCTCATGTTGCTTGTGCCTCTTTACGTTTGACGATTCCCATCTCACGGATTGGGCATCGTCTTGTGGATCCGTGCAGGAAACCGTTGCCGCTCTCAATGTTTGCATTGGTTCGCCTTTCGCCAGTGACAAAAGGCAGAACATGCCGCCGACTGGAACGTTCTTGGGCCTCGACTTTGATTTCTCTCAGTGCTTGTCCCCGGTGCGGTTCGGTTCTTTGTGCGTGACCGCTTGATCCTCAAGGTCCACGACATGGTCGATCCGGCGATCTCGTCGGGTGCTCTTCTTCCAGGTGCAGCTGCGAAACTCTATGGCACCTGCAACTTCCTTGAGCAAGGCATGTATGGGCGAGTCGGTGCCGGGGGCCTGCGTGCCATTCGCGAGCATGCGGATGAAGGTGGCCGTGAGGTGACTCCTCCCATCCCCGCATGCCTTGATCTGATCAAAGCGGTCCCTTCTGTGCGCCCAGAGCGGGGGTTGGATAGTTTGCCTTGCCCCCTCCCACGGTTTGTTGCCACGAGTGACGCGGTGGAGGACGTGCTAAGCCAAGGCTCCGGGGGGTTTCACTCGGTGTGGCTGCATCCTAGAGAGCGTGAGAGCGTCGTGGCCGTGATTGGTCCTGAGGTCTATTCTTGTTTCACTCCCGGAGATCAGAAGTGCCCAGCTCGAGCTGGCAATGGTGCTGTACGCTCTTACTGCCGTGACTGCTTTCCGTGCTTCTGGTACGTTGAGAATGTTGCAGCCCTGATGGTGTTTATACGTGGCCGACCTAGTTCGCTTGCTTTGAAGCGCATGGCGCAGCTCATTCATTTGGCCCTCTTTGCTCTTCGAGCATCTTTTTTCTTTGAGTATATTCCGTCTAAGACGAACTGGGCAGACGCGGTGAGCCGCGTCGATTTTACAAATCCTTGGATCCACCAGCGAGGCTTCTCTTGTCATCTGGCCTGCGTCCCAGTCCATCTCTGGAACCTACCTCTCCCCACCGTGCTGCGTCTGCGTGTCTTCGAGTTCCTTTCAAGTGGTGCTTTGGGGTTTCTAGTGCCTTGGGTTTTGCCCCTTTCGGGGGAGATATGAATGTTCGACAGGTGGGCACCTGTTCGACCGTATCTTTACCTCGAGGTTTCTACCAAAGCACTATCCCGAAGGTGTTCCGGGTTACCTTCAAAGACCTCGAAGTGTGAGCAGCAGTGAGTGCGACGTTGGAAAAGGTAGTGCGAACTCTGCTGTGTAGTTCTGCAACTTAAGTCGGAATGAAAATTCGTCCCACGAGTCTAATCCTCCTCAAAGAACGGAGGCATACTGCAAAGCTGCACACCGGACGGCATTTTCAAGTGCACCGTGCTGGCTAAATAGCCGGACATGTACAAGGAATTAGTGACACACCTGGCTGTTCACATTCTAAGAACGATGTTGCTTCTGTTCCGGCGGAACGGCCGACAAGCGTGGCGCAAACCGTAGCAGCACGCATCTTGACGCAGCACTCTGGATGATGCCAACGCCACGATGTCTTCAAGGAGATGGCGTTGCCGACGAGCATCTTTGCGAAACCCCGCATGCCCCCTGGCAAGCTCAGCACCACTTCAAACATGCCGTCCCTTTTGCTCCGGTCTGTCAGAACGCAGCCGATTGGGTCTCCGTCCTTGTCAGATCCGTCGACCTTGCCGCAGCTGATTGATGCCACCCGTTCGAGCTTCACGGTGCTGCCCAACTTCTCCACAAATCCGTGAATACCGCCTCACGCCAGATGACTGGATTACTCGGGTCGCGGGGTCGCGGGGCCGTGGCCGCGTGGCCGCGGGCCGCGTGGCCGCGCAGAAGCGTTAGTTCGTTAGTTCGTTCGTTAGTTAGTTAGTTAGTTAAATGTTTTTGTGTCCTCCTCCCCCCCTATGACCCCCCCGAAACTAGCTCTTTCAGTAAGCTTGCTGAGCAAAGGACTCCGGTTTGGTCTAACCCCCTAGAAAAGTGTTGTACCAAACCACGAC